TGAAGGAATAGCTTGGGTTTGCCCTCCCCTCAGTAAAACGCAGCCTAATAATTTGGGCTGAATCTCTGCCCTGCTGCAGTTTCCCAACAGCACTGGTGAGATGAAAATGTAAAGAAAATAGTTCCATAAGATTACCGTAGGAAGGGGCACGAGACAGGTCTGCGGGGCCTGGCTAGGGAGCAGACAGGATGCGAGCGCTGGCTGTGGAACCATGATCGCATGTGGCAGAAGACGTGGAAGTGGCTCACGTCGTTTCACGCTAAAGCAGGATCAATGTTCTTATTTCTGATAGGCAAGAAGAGAAGCTTTGGCCAGAACCACTTTACTTACAAAATAGTTGTCATTTGTTTGTGTAACTGAGTAAAATGGCTGCACACAAGATGACTGCAAGTAATAGAAAGTATAGGAGTCTTGTTAATGTGGCATCAAGTCAGAATGGCATAAAGTTACTTTCTTCTAACACCAAACAAAGATCTTCAGGAGCCCCAGGACCTCTTTGTTGGCTGCTCCTCCGCTTTCTCCAGCTGAGCTACAAAATCTGGTGTGCACACATCCTGCCAAGAAGCATTTGGACACACCGCTGCAGTATGGTGCACCTTAGATTGATAGATACTGCAGGCATCCTCAGCTGACTTTGGCCAACTTTGTAGGACCTCGCTGTCCAGCTTTTGCAAATAATAGAAAAAATGGAGACTCCCTGTGCGTGGCGCATCTCCCTCCTGCAGGCATCTCAGCCTGTGATCAGCTGCAGTTAGATGGTGACACCTCTGCCCTCTGAGAGCAAGGTTAGGGTAGCTTATTGGCTCTGATGGACTCGTATTTTCATGGCAGTCAGGCGTAACTCAGAGGGGAGGGAGGATTTCAGGATCTGCAGCTTTCCCATAGGAGAAAAATACCATTTAAGCACCAACCTGCAACAACTCATCAGATCTCCAGCTACTCTGCAGCTGTTGAGATACCCTTGGGGTGGCTCTAATTGCTAAAGGAGTGAATCAACTCCCTCACTACTTTCACCATCCAGCCCATTACAGCTCCACACGAGGTGTTAAGAAATTACTGCTGGAAACAGAAAAGCCGCACGTTAGTGACGGAGTCATTTAATAATCTTCCCTCTCAACAAGTAGTTGGCATGCCGACAAGGAGAAGAAAGAAAGATTGCAGAAGAAAATTATACACGTGAAGTAAAAAATAAACTCTTCTTCACAGTTTTATACGTGAAAGCAGCAGCAGAGGAGTCTGCCCGCTGTCACCGCTGCCAGGCAAGTCCAAGCCGTTTGAGTCAGGTCCTGGGTCTAATTAACCAAGTGGTAGGGCATAGTCAGTCACAGCATTTGCACACATGGTGGTCATTAACTAAGTCTGGTGACTGGTTAAGTAAACACGTTTGGGTTAGAGAAATACAGCAATCAACTGATGTACATTTTAAGCAATTGCAGTATGAACAGCAGAGCCCCAGGAGTTGCAGAGCAATGACCCGTAACCTCATTTCTGATGGGGAGGCTGGAGCTGCTTTGCAGTTTAAATATGCAACAACATATCAATGAGAGTTTCTGTTCCTTGCTCTTTGAAGACCAGTGGTGAAGAAAAACAATTTGTCCTTTAGTTTAACTTCAGCTTAAACTGCAACCCTGGAGGCACAGCATTGTCAGATGTCCCTGCTTCACTCTTGTATGCTTCCTTCATGCTTGTCCCAGGATGAGCACTGAAATGGTTCGTAGCAAAAACTGGGGCAGCGCATTAGTTAAACATGGGCGACCAGGAATGCTGCTGAAAAGAGCAAAGATCTCCTAAGGTCACAGCATGGCATCCTTTGCCTTGTAAGCATGAGCCCATGGTGTTATCCTGCTCAGTGTGCTTTGCACTCTTGCAGCGTTTAGTAGCTGGGCGACACTCCGTCTGGGCATTCAGCCACAGCAGGAGGCCCTGTGAAAAGCTTTTTCGGACCTCCTCATCTCAACCTGCAGCTCTACAGCCCTTTCTTGCTAGCCCTCTGCTGCAGGGACTGGGGCAGGCAGTCACCGGCCGAGGCAGTGCAGACAGGCAGCTCTCGGCAGCACCTGGCAGCAGGCAGGACTTGCACTTTATCTGTGCCCAGCCTCTTGATGTGCCTGCATCCCAACACCAAACATCACCGCTTTCTAGGTGGACGGCCAAACTACAGCTGCTTTAAAGCAGAGCATGTCCCAGGACAACAGCTTGGAGAAAGGTTTGGGATGATACATCAGCATCCACAAACGCTCAGGACTGCAGGGTTGGTGGAGGAGGGAGGACGCAGATGGCGAGGAGAGAGGTACAGAGTGTGAAGATGCAGCAGGAGATCACCTATAGCAAGCTGTCAGTAACTGTGCTACTTCACATGCACCCTGCAAAGGGGTTGTAGCCTTTGAACGGGCAACGGGGTGCTGCCCCTGCTTGCTGCATGATGCATTGCTCCCTGAACCTGCCAGGATGCGACCACCTGGGATGCGTTATCCCCAGGGGCTGCCCCATGGGTCCAGCCTGTCCAGAGCACCCGCTGCAAGAGAAGCATGCCCATGTCTTGTACCCAGACGTGGCGAGGGTGTTAAGGGACTTGCAGGAAAGAGTCCTGCAGGCTCTCCAGACAGAGTCAGGGTAGAGCCCCTTCTCCCACTGCTTGCAGTTTAACTGCCCTAATCTCACCCCTTTTTCTAAGCTTAGTCAGTTGTGTGGCAGGGAGTTGTGTCTATCTTGTCTTGAAGTGCCAGTCACCCTCCAGCCAGGTCTCTGCCAGCCATGGAAGAGGTTGTACACCTCTTGGCAATTTTGGCAGGTCTGTGGTACCTGGAGCTGCCACTTCTGCTGGATTTTTTTGTTCCTGGTTCATGGGCTAGGGACTCTTCTTTGAACCGTGTTGGTTGAGTGAACCAAGCTGTGCCAGCTCTGATGCCCCATCTCCCCAGCTGCTGCATTTTCCAGGCACTGTTTCTATAACTATTCCAAAAATTCAGCAATTTTTCTGCTCCCTGCCACCCTGGGGTCAAAGCTTTTGCCCAGCAGCTGTGTGATATACAACTGTGTGTTACACACCTTTGATGACCAGCCACCTTTCAGCCTCTCAGATGCACCGTCCATTCTTGTTCTGCAGTGGCTCCGGCTGAACAAAGAGCTCATTTTCTTGGTTAAGAGCATAAGAAGAGTGGAAATTCACATTAAAGACCCACCTCTTCCAGGAAAACGCTCCCTGAAGCAGGCAGTGGAAGAACCATGGTGCAAGGCCCGTGCAGTGGTGGCAGCAGTACCTGTGGCCCTGTCAGGGGCTGCCCACTCACTCCTTTGGCTGTCGCATCGGTCCCCAGAGCACACCAGCATGTGGCTGTGACCTTGCGGGAGTATGTCATGGCCCCTCTCACGGCAGGTGCAGCCTCTCTGCGTGCCAGCACCGCAGCTCTCATCACTTCCTTGCATGTGTCCTGCGAAAGCACTTTCCTGGGTGGAGAAAGAGACTTTGTGGGGAAACGTTTTCACTTTTTCCATCCTTTGGAGGATACTGGTGAGCAGGTGGCCCTCACCTGTAGCCCACCCTTTCTCCCCAGAGTGCTCACCTCCCTGTTTGCATCTATCCAGAGACTTGACTCGACTCTTCTCTTCTCTTTTCTCTTCTCTTCTCTTCTCTTCTCTTCTCTTCTCTTCTCTTCTCTTCTCTTCTCTTCTCTTCTCTTCTTCTCTTCTCTTCTCAGCACCCTCTCACCCTCTCCATACTCCCTGCTCCCAGGTCACGACTTGACACAAGCCACACTAAAAAACACTTAGCTGATGCACAGCAACCAAGCTCTCGTGCCCCTGGGCATCCCTACACAGTGGGTCACCCCCTCTCTCCTGGGAGCCTGTTTTATGACCCAGCTGGGCTGGCTGGTGATCAGCTCACACTAGACAGAGTTTGTTGCAGTGCCTGAGATGCTGCATGGTACCCACACACTAGAAACGACAATGCTTTCACAACACTCTTCCCCCAACCTCCTTTCCTAATGTGGCTCTCCCTCTCAAATACCTCAACAGGAGAAAAGGACTCTAAAAAGAGAAGATGCCTTGTGCTGGGTCCACTTGAAATGGATGTGTTGTGTGCACACAGGATAATTTTTTTGGCTCTACCCCAAATGGAGAGTTTCACTGTGACTTTTGACAACCTTTCAGCAAGGTCTCAAAGTCCAGCGAAGTGGCTGTATGAAAAGCCATGGGAAGTTGAGTTCCAAGGACAGAGGCAGCTTTTCAAGCTCATGTTGCTGCTCCTTGGTACATAGTTGCTCTGAATGAGCAACCTCCATAGAAAAGATGAAATTTGAGGATCTCTTGCTGGAAATTGGTGGCTTTGGCAGATTCCAGATTTTGATTTTGTTTATCCTCTGCCTCCCAAGAATCAACCTCCCCATGCATTTCCTGCTGCACAATTTTCTTGCTGCTACCCCCTCTCATCACTGTGCAATTCCACACCAAGAGGCATTTGTGAATCTCACCGTGGAAGAAGTTCTGCTCATCAGCATCCCCCGGGAGCCCGACGGCACTTTCAGGTCCTGTGAGATGTTCTCGCAGCCTCAGTTTCACCTGCTGCTCAATTCCTCTCTGCAACCAGAAAACAACTCCATCATCCAGCACTGCCAGCACGGATGGGTCTATGACCACTCACAGTTCACCTCCACCATCTCCACCCAGGTAACGCCTGGCCTGTGATCCAGCCAAAAATGAAATTAGCTCAGTGTTTTGAGGAGCAGATGGAGAAGTGTTCGCTGGGTGCACAGAGTCAGAGGGGAATCTTTGCATTTTAACCAGTGGAAATGACTTGTTTAGAGAAGATTTCCTGGGATGGGGAAGCTCTCTGAAGCTCAGAGTTAGAAGCCACCATTATTATTACAAGCATCTTGCTTAGATTGATATTTAGAAGCCAACATTTCTTGTTATACACATCCTAATGTATCCAGGTGATAGAGAGATTGGAGGCGCGGGAGGAATACACACATACAGGATTTTCTCTGCTTGGGCCACATGGCATTTGCACAGGATTACACCCTATCAGGATTTCATTTGAGCCCATGACTTGCTTTCTTGATTTGCCAAACACTTTGTAACTTCTATTCCCTTGGCCACCCCTCCTCACTGCCCTCCGGCTTCCCCCTCTTCTCCCCAGGATCACGCTGCCTCTCTTCTCTTACCACCAGTGTCTCCTGCTGTCAAGCCAAACGTGCTTTCCAAGGGCCTCCCGCTGAGATGCAGCATGCTGGCCAGCCATAACCTTGAGCCTGCCCAAGGTCCCTGCCCATCAAACATTAACCACTTGCCTTCTGAAATGCTTCGCTAAGGCTAACAGTGATACCTCTGCGTGTTAATGCTTTACCTTGCTTGAAAGGTGGCCCAACGCACAGGAGGTCTTAGAGAAGGGGTCAACTTGGTCAGACAAAAGGGGCATGGTTGGGTTTGAAACTATAGCAGCTGACTGTGTCAGTGAGAGCAGGGCTAAGTTTTAACCTAGAGCTGGTGCCTCCTCCCCCCCACCCAACCACCCCTGGTTTTGGCAGGCACAGAGGTGAGGGTCAGATGTGCACCAGGTCTGTACCTGATTTTTGCACTGCTTCAGGGAGAAAGGTGCAAAGCACCCTTGGGGGAAAAGGCAGGGGAGGTGCTCTGCAGCACGGATGCTGAGCATGGAGCCTCATGATGCTGCACCCAGGGTGCAGTGGCCTCGGGACATGTTCAAGGGGCCGGGGCTTTCTCCGGAGTCTTTTGCTCTTGCAGCAAGAAAGGTTGCTCAAGGTCTGGCTGGTCTTGTCAGAGAGGCTGCAAGGCTGGGTCAATGATTAAATTAAGTTTTGCCGAGTTTGCACACACAGAAAATTAACTCTGCAGCTTGCACCCAGCTTTCTGTAATGATTAGCAACATCTGGACCTCCAAGAAACTAAAATGATGCTCATCAACTTAATTAGGAAGAATGTCTAGACCAACTTCTCAGTAAGAAATCAGTAAGTTAGCATCAGGAGCAAGTATTTGGTCTGACACCCCCTCTGCCATCCTTCGTCCCTGGCACAGACAGCTTCAAAGGAAATTGGTCAGGGCAACAGTAACTGGATATCAACATGACATTGCCTAATGAAGGTTGAGGCACGTCTTAAGCTTACTGCAGTGCGGCACCCTGCAAATGCCCATCTCACCAGGGCAATCCCAGGAGCGTGGCAGAAGGAGCTAGGGGAGACAGGCACCCAAGCAGGCTGAGAGCAGCTATCACAGGGGTCAGGAGAGGAAAAAGAGGATCTTTCTATGATGAGTGGTACCCAGGAAAGCTTTCTGATGCCCAACAAGTGTCCACAGAGAGGCTGACACAGTGGGGATAGATAACTGGGAGGCCTCTGAGTTTTGTAAGATGCAGCTTTACATTTCTCAGGACTCCGGCACTGTCCTATGTGCAGTTTAGTGCAGGATTCTACCCCTCAATGAGATTCGGCCGATATAAATTGCAAGACACGATGGCTGACCACCGGAGGGAAGGGGTGTGAAAAGGCAACTGGGCACTAAGTGTCATTTTGGCCTTGTGTTTCAGTGGGACCTCGTGTGCGAGCAGCGCGGACTGAACCAGGCGACTGCAACCTTCTTCTTCATTGGCGTTACGCTGGGGGCTGTGGTATTCGGATACCTTTCAGACAGGTTTGACCCCTTTCAGGCTGTTCCTCCAAGGCTTCAATTTCATGACGAGAACTTCACAAACCTGTGACCTGCAAAAGGCAATCAGAGGGGCAGAGAAAGGAGAAAACACAATCGTAAAGGGAGAATCCAGCCTCTCACATGAAAATTGGATTAAAGTCATACAGGGAAGCAATGCAAGGGCTAAATGCTCCATGGATCAGCCAGTTAGCAGCCCACCAGAGAAGCAGCTCTGGCCTTGGTTAGGAGTAAGATGCACTGCTGCAATGACCACAACACTGTGGTCAGCATTGCTGCAGGAACAGTAAAAACTAAAAAAATCCACTGTCTGTGAGACCAATTTCAGAAAAGACAACTGTCTAAAAAAAGAGAAAGCTGGCTAAACCAAAACCAGAACAAGAGGCTAAAAGAGTTAACTCCTGCCAAACGATACGGAGATTGGTTAAGGACCAATCTCGAGCCCCAAGTGAGGGGCTCAGACCAAATGCATGCCATATAGCTGAAAAAAAAGAGTTTCCAGAAAGCAAAAACTGACTCCATCATTACTAGAGAAGCACGGTAAAGGAGGTTATTAGAAGCAGGGAGGCATTCCTTGAGGAAGAGCTGAGGCAATGAGGAAAACAGGAACGAATCTGCTCTCTCTGGTTAAATGTTAGAATGTGATAATGTAAACCTGAAAAAAATCTGAGTAATAACCTAGAAAGGGCATCAATTAAGAAATTAAATATTTTTGCAAACAGCAGAACCAGGAATCCTACCAGAGAATACACACTGCAGACATGCAATCAGGATGTGCTATTCACTGTACGCTGTTCATTATTTAATGTCTGAGTTTCCTGCGCAGGAAACCGCTTCCTGATTTCCTTCCTCTGGGAGCAAACAAGCATTAGTGTACGGCAGGCTACAAAATCACTGCATAGCAGAGGGGAACCAGCTTCACAGTATGGAGCACCCAGAGACTTAGTGCTGAAGATGGGAATTTTTACATCCATATCATTGCATATGAGTATATCAGTATACTTTTACAAGGACCCAAGACACCTGGTTGATCTTCGAACTCTGTGTCTTGGCTTTGTATCTAAAACAGCTTTATAGCACAGTGGGAGGGAAAGAAATTCAGAATCGTGAAAAGGAGCAGGATAAAATAAGGCAGAAGAGAAGGTCTCTGCTAGAGCAAAGTGAAAAATAATTTGTTTTTCAAATGGATTGTGAGGGGGAAGAGCCAGTAGAAGATCAAGGCATAAAAGGAGCGTCTGGAAATAAAAAGGCTGTAGTGTGAGACATAAATGAGTTTGTGCTCACAGTGGGAGAATGTGTAGGGGCAGGTGTTGGAGCTGCAGCTTTGAAATAAGCTGATAGAAGAAGGCATAGAGAAATACACCAGGTGAATGCCAGTAAACTGCCAGGAGCAGGGAATGGTCATCCTGGAGCCCTATAGGACCTTTGGGATGAAAAAGCTGGAACGCTGTTGGCACCGTGTGACCTCCACAGCAGAGGGCTGGGAAGGTATCGTGTATCAAATCAGTTTTAAACTGATTTCCAAAAAAGATCTCGGGAACTACGTTCAAGGCAGCCTGACATCTATCTGCACCAGGCAAATTAGTAGAAACTATTCTGAAAGATTGAGTCAGTGGCCACATGGGTGGATATGACATACTAGTGAAGAATCAGCGGGGGTTTTGCAAAAGATTCATGCCTTACAAACATACTGGATTTCTTTGAATGTGCTAACAGGCATGTGAACAGGGGAGATAGATGCCATCTACATGGATTTCAAGAAGTTTCCTTACCAAAGGCTCCTAAAGAAACTGAGCTGCCCTAGGATAAGAAGGAAGGTCTCTGCATGACTAAATAATTGACTAAAAGCCAGGAAGGAGAGGGGAGATTAAGTGTTCAGTTGTGACAATGGAGGGAGACCTGTGGGGACCTGTGCTTGGATTTGTGTGCCTTTCAGCACATTTATAAATTACCTGGAAAAGGAGCGAGTGGGGAGGTGATGCTGAGTGACCAGGCTGGTAGAGATGAGATCTGAGTGTGGAGAACTGCAGAAGGATTTTAGAGCTCTGTGACTGGATGGGAGTATCAGAAGACAAAATTTCAGGGTAGATCAATCTAAAATAAAGAGAAACAACTCTAACTTCTCATTTAAAATTGAGGCCTCTGAGCTGACCATAGCTGCTCAGGAGCAAGACTTTGGGGTTATTACAGACAGCTCAAGGCAAACATCTACTCAGCAATGAGTAGTGGCTAGGGAAGCAAATGGAAATTAAGAATCGTTAGGAAAGGAATATAAAATTAAAGAGAGTATCACTATGCAGTAACATGTAAATGCGTAGTGGCCCCACATCTTGAATACTGTGTGCAGTTTTGATTTCCCTTCACCCTCCTTCCCCATCTCAAAAGGATACAGAAGAAATGGAGACAATTCAGAGAAGCTAACAAAAAAGACCTAGTTATAGCTTGACTTCCAAAAAGCCAGACCAGGACCCTTCAGTTTGCTAAAGTGGCAGCTGACGAGGGTTTGACAGCCAGCTGTGCCCTCCTGAGCAGCCCGGAGCAGAGCTGGCTGTGCACTGCCCACCTGAGCTACCTGGCCACAGGGCCCGCAGGTCACGTCAGAAAAGGCTTGCAGCCCACATAATGGCAGCGGGGGCAGTGCGTCCAGTAAATTTGCAGTAAATTTGGCAGATCTGTTAAACCTCAGGCGTCATGCCCCCCATCTCCCCTAAGACCCCTTAAAAGCTGACGTCCCGTTAGCAACCTTCCTTTTCTCTAACAGAGAAGAGGTCCCACTTCTTTGTGGTAACAGTAAGGCAGAGATCTCACCTCTAGTGCTCCAGGGTGACAGCCATCTGGTCCTGGCATTTTGCTACAGTTCAGGTTTGTTTTGTTCTAAGCCTCTACAGACATTTGGATTTGAGAACATCCCTACTGACAAATTTTACCCTGGTAAACCCTCCAACAACCTTCACTGTGAACATACATAAGCAAAAAAAAAGCTTCTGTTATTGTCTGCTCTTTTCCAAACACTCCTTTTGTACCTTGTCCTTGTACTGAATTGGCTGTATGATGCTTTGGCAGACTTCCAGATTGGGATATTTATGAAAATGGCTTTTTTTTAAATTTTTATGCTTGTGCAGTTTGCTCTTTTTATTATATTTCCTACATTTAATCTTTCAGAGGTTGTGCTTTCCTAACTCTCCCTTTGAAGACAATTTTAACAGCATTATTTCTAGCAGCCTCCCTGTAGCCTGCAGTTCAATTCTGCCAGCTCACCTCTGGTTTCCCTAGCAGGTGGCATGCATTTGCTGAGAGAGTCTAGTAATGGGTCCATAAATAGCTGCCTTGCGCCCTGCAGGGAATCTGATGGTTTTATATCCTTCTCACTGTATTTTCAAGAAAAATCTTCATTTAAAAAATGTATCTTCTTTCTTAGGCAGTTACCCTATTGGGAAACCGGATCCAGCTCTGGTGTGTTCCTGGGTATTTGCTGCTCTGACCCAGCAGACACGAAGTCATTACAATGACTTTTGCAAGCTGGCTCTGCTTAAATTTCAAAGCAGATCCAGCGAACTGCCTGGGCCCAAGCAACAAGTTGTTTTTTCTCCAGTAGCTTCATTAACTAGCTGCTGCATGAAGTCATTTATGATCATTTTTAGGAATGTTATTGTGGCATTATGTCCCGGCATATCACTTTTTGCTCTGGAGCAATTGTTCTTGCCACCATCCTTCTCAGGTGGCCACTAAGAGAGCCCTAATGCCAGAATCAGACCAGGATTGCAGTGCCTATAGACTGAACGTTACCTGTTGGCAGGGTTAATTTACTAGTCCAGTTTGAACCTAAGCTTTCATCACATGCAGTGCTGATATTCATCAGAAGACTGATGCCTTGTGCCCCATTTTGATTTTTAGATTTTCATAGGTTGTGTAGAAATACATCCACACATATTTCTCTGTGTGTGTGTGTATACATGTGCATTTGTGTGTATTTGATTTTCTGTATTTCTCCACACTCTCCACACAGGACTCTGCACCAGGGTAAGATGGTCCTACAACTTCCAAAGCCCTTGGGGAATGACCTCCTAGCAGATTTCTCACAGACCCCTTAGGACATCAGGGCTATTTGCACATGTGGGCTGACAATTGGATTCCTCTTATTTTCCTTTGGGATCTTTGTTTTCCTTCCAAGGATCGGAGTGAAAGTGTCACGGCTCTCTCTCCTCCTCGAGAGCGGTGGCAGTGGCTGGTCCTGAGTGAGCCACGGGAGGAGGACATGCTGAGCCATGGGGACAGCCATTGGAGGGAGCAGGGTGAGCCAGCAGCATGGGATTTCAAGCTGACATCACTGCTTTTGATGATGGTGTTGAACAGGGGAGCCCGATATATTGTTTTGATCAGTGTTGCTCTTTCCATTGGAGAGCCTCATGCTCGATGCTCATGGGGGCAGGCTGGCCCTCTGAATGGGATTGCACCACTGTGGCACCGGTTATATCCAGAGCTGTTTCCTCCTCTCTGGGGCATTGCATCTTGTGCTCTTTGCAGAGCGGGAAATATTTTCATTTTCCTTCTCAAGCCTCTGGTTTGCCCCATTTCAAACCTTACTCCTGGGACGGGTTTCCAGCTGCTGTAACCCAGTCTGTATTCGTGGCAGGTTCGGACGGAAAGCCATGCTCCTGCTGTCGCTTGTGTGCTCTGTCATATTTGGGATGCTGAGCGCTGCCTCCGTCTCCTACAGCATGCTGGCCATCATGCGGACCCTCACTGGGGTGGCCCTGAGCGGCGTCTCCCTTATTGTGTTGCCTTTGGGTAGGTATGTGGCAGCTTGTGGGTGTCCGGTTGTACAGGGGGACTTCTGACAGGCAGTGGGTAGGTAGGGACTTGTCTACCAGACAGGGCAGAGCTAGTAGGAACAGGAGTTTCGAAATAGTTATGTGTGCAATTTCACTACAGGCAGCCAAAAGTACATCCCTCTTGGGAGGACCCAAGAATTACAATTTTCTGTTAGTCTAATTAACGCTTTAACAGTCTACTCAAAATGTAACAACCACTAATTAGTACTTCTGCTGCAACATTAACACTTGCAATCCATGCTACCCAATTCCTGTTAAGGATCATCAGTAGTACAATAAAAGCCATAGACTAAAGTATCTGCCCCTTTCCTCTGATACTGAGTTCTCACCCTTCAAACACACTGTTAAGACAATTTATCAGTGTTGCCATGTCCTCAGCAGGAGGAGAAGTGTGTCATTCGCAGGGTGTTTCTACCTCCCCAGTCTTGAGTTTGCTCACAGTTTTCGTAAGTTCCCAATCTGTATTTTTAGAAAGAGTGGGGCGAAAGAACCACAAAAAAAAAAATCATACAGAACTAGGCAAAACTGAAGCTGAAGAATTCAGGTAATTATATAATAAAAACAAGCTCCAAACTTCAGGGTACTCAGCGGAGCACTGGATGATTTTGTAGATACAGTTGGGACACACTAGGCAAGACTCATTGTACCCAAAAGCAAGTTACAGGTGCAGCAAAAATTTCCAGGACTTTTGCAGATACAGCCAAAATCAAGCTAAAATGGCCTCAATACTGGAAAAGTCCACACAAGACCTGACAAATCCCAAGGTCTGCTATGTTTTTTTATTGTTATAAAGGTTGATGCCTGCAAGGCAAAGTAGAGCTTGGGAGGGACATTTCTGATTGTTAGCAGTTGTAGCAGGATGACCATTTGAATGCAATTGAATGGGATGAAAAAAAAAGGATCACTTAAGGTGTTTTTAGCACTGTTTCTTACTATATGTCCAGTATTTCTTCTTTTAAGGCTTTATTTTAGTTGCTTACATCTTTGCAAGAGGTTAAGCATTGTGGATGAACGTTTTAAATGTGCCAGATGTCGGCCAAACAGTGGAACTCTCCTGGAGGAGACGACCAGGGACATTACCTCACTTTGCCCTTGTTAAAGAGCCCTGCAGACCCCTTCCTGGAGAAGTCCTGTGTGTCCCAGCTGAACGCTGCCTTCCTCTTGCAGGGATGGAGTGGGTGGACATACAGCACCGCACCTTCTCCGGGATCCTGACTAGCATCTTCTGGAGCATCGGGAACATGCTGCTGGCCATGGTAGCGTACTTGGTGCGGGAATGGCACTGGCTATTAGTAGCCGTAACAGGACCTTGTCTTCTGAGCATTGTCTGCCTGTGGTGAGTGCAGCGACCTGCAGCCGGATGGCTAGTGGGGCTGGGAGTGGGCTGTGATTTGCCTCCTCTGCTCTGTAAGCGTGGCAAATGTTGCAACACTGATCCTAGGATGGGCTCCAGCAATCTAAAGAGGAGCAGGACTCATCTGTGTCCTGCACTCGGATTGCCCAGGCGTGGCAGCTCTTGAAAACTGAGTGGCCTGGGTTTCATCTCTCCCCACTTCCAACAAGGCCAGGAGCCAAGGTCGCACCACGGCTTTGGGGACAAGGAGGAGGCAGGACTGGGGCTGAGGCCAGGCATTTGGGGGACAAGTTGCAGCACAAAGGAGCAGGATTTGGTGCTGCAAGCACTGTCAGACGTGGCTCAGAGCAAGCAAAGAGATGCCAATAAAGGGAGGCAGGGCCAGACCAGATCCCTGGCTTTAATCCCTGGTAGACTCAGGATAAATAATTTATCCATCCTCTGTCCCCACCTCATTGAGGAGGATACCTCTGGTACCAATTTTTCCATATGAGCCAATGACATCTGCAGGCTAGGTCAAGTTCATTTATCTCTGCACTTCCCATGGCCTTTCTCAGCTGTGTAACCATCCTGATGGGTCAAATACATCTGCCTCTGTGGGCTATTTCCCTCCTGTAGCCTTATTTAAGAAATACCTGACATCTCTTAAGCCTTAAAATGAAAGATGGCTCATTTAATCAAAGAAACTCATTTTCCTCCTTTTTTTCATGTAGTAAACCAGACCAGAATACAGGGTCGATTCACTGATACTGTGACTGTAATGTGAAGTGTATTGGATCAACCTATTCGATGATCCAAAACAGTCCTTTGAATAAGCAGCTCCATTTCCTGGCTGGACAAAAGTCCTGTGTTGAAATAAGCAAGCAGGCATTCCCACAACTGCCCCACTGAAAACATGCAGAAATGGGTGTCTGGGTCTCCTCCACCTTAGGGTGGTTGTTTAGTTCCTCTTGGACATCGGTGTGGTGGTGGACCACACTGCAGAAATCACAGACGTGTCTCTCAGGGGTGACGGGGAGCTCTAGCTGGAAACCACACAGAATAAGCTCTGATTGTTAGACACATGGGCCCCAAAATTATATGCATAATCGCTGAGCAGAAAGTGATATCCAAATGCTAAAGTGCCTTTCAGCTGCCATCAAAGAGGCTTCTAGAGACTATGGTTTGCTTGCTTACTATGTCTGTCCATCAGCATGAAGCAGTAGATTAAATAGCTGCACAGATCTAGCAGAAAAATCTCAAATAATACTTATGAAAAATGGGGTATAAACTGATGCTGTTGTTAATCAATGGCTCAGAAAAGATGTATTGTTTTGCTGGTGATAAGGGTTTTCTGGCAAAGAGTAACATCTGATATTTCACTGATCAAGTCCAGCACAACTGCAATATGTGTTCTGCTGACTTTTTTAGTTTGAGTTGTCTTGTTCTTTCTCTAGGACAACCAGCCATAAAAAAATTGAGTCCTGGGAAGTGCTGAAATTCAGATACATTTGGACCCACCCTTTCCATGATAGCTGATTTTTTTTCTCCTATGTTAATGCCTTTTACGGAGATTAGTTCTCCAACAAATTATACTGTAGTCCGACCAAAATTCAAGCAACCAAGAGGTCAGTGATTGTTGGATAATTAAAAGTCCCTGAAGTATGGAATCAAAATCGAATTTAGCACACTCTGTAGATATTGTTGACACAATGTCAGAACTCAGTTGAGACATTAAGACAACCAAAAGACATAATATTATACTCTGGAGATGGTGGCAGTGAGTGCAAAATGCCATCTTTCACTCTTTATATTTCCCAAGGTGCACTGGGTTATAAGCTTATAGGAAGGAGTTGAAAACTTTCCAGAAGACCAGTTCTGCAAATGTTTTTGCTCTACACATCCTTTTCAGCTACTGCTTGAATAGTGACAGCAGTTGCTCATTAGGTTTTTTGTAACCTGATTTAGGGCACATTAATCACCAACAGCTTACAGGGAACTGGTCTCGGACCGCTTCAGTGGGAGACTCCGAAGAGAGGTTTTTGACAACTGTGTGACCTCAGTGGACCTCATAGCCACATCCTTTTTCAGGGTTGTAAGTCTTCCCACTGACTGCACAGGATGCTCAGCTGAAAGTCTCCATGCGAACAGCAGATTCTGTTTTCTGCTTCTCTCAGGGGACACATTTGAGTAGCAGGAGGTAGGTGTTGGCTGCTCTAGCAGAAGGTAGCCACTGTGGGGTATTTCCAATGTCTTCTGGACCCTGTCTGCTATGCAGACCCACATAACACCATGTACCCTCTAGGCCAGATGGGCTGCACTGTGGCCTGGGAAGCTGCGGGCCAAACAGGGCCATGCAGCCATGAATTGCAACCAGATGCAAGATCAGAGAGAAGTCCAAGAAGAGGGAGTTGCAGATGCTAGTTTATGACAAGTGCTGGATCTTTTGCTGGAACAGACAGAAAAATAAGAGTCACAGGACTCCTACCCTACACAGGTCTGCTAAGCAGACCTCTCAGAGTTTCTAATTAGCTCTACAGCAGTACAGTATCCTTTGTCGCTCAATGACTAGCTTGGATACTTCACTGGGGGCCACAGCCGCAATGATTTAGACCCCAGTTGACTGTCTTGTGCAGAAGGCTTTGATTATTGTGAAAAACAAATAATTTTAGCAATTAACAGAGTAAGTATAGAGCCCACTAAATCCTTTCTACATAGGGATTTTTTACATCCTACAATTTCAAAGTTTAAAGAGTCCCAAAAAGCATGAGTCTGTAAATATAAACTCTCTGGGGCCAATTTTAATTGATAAGAGTTTGAAACTTCAACCAGCTCAGAAAATTCAAGCTTTGATCAGAGATGACATGATAAAAATTTTGGCTAGACATACTTCAATTAGCAGACTGTACTCCCTTAAGGGTAGAACAGCATGTATGTATAACAAGGGTGTCCCATTACTCTTATCCTCATGCACCACAGTTGCTATTTTTAGCTGATGTTGAAGTCCCATTGAGAAGACCCCGTCTCTGTGGCCAGGGCCATGTACGTGGGGTGGAAAACATGGAGCACCAACAGGAACACTGTCTTCTCTCCTCGCACCAGGTGGGTCCCAGAGTCTGCCCGGTGGCTCATAGCCAATGGCAAAGTGAAACAAGCTCACAGGCATCTGCTTAGATGTGCAAGAATGAATGGAAGGAAAGAATTTGCTGTCTCACCAGAGGTGAGAAACTGAAGATCCAGACACACGTTCTTCCTCTCCCATTTTCTCTCTCTCTGTTTTACTTCTATTTGATATCTGAAGCAATGCTCAGCCTGCAGTGTGATTTGTGAGGCACTGTAGTCCACAAGGTGCCATGCTCCATTTTACTCTAGAAAGCAGCTACATCCACTCCTAAAGATAAAGCAGCAGCTCAGCTCCCATAAGGCCAGAAATCCCCTTCATTAGGTGGAGTGTCTTTCCATTCATTATTGCCATGACAAGAAGCCTCAATGCACTGGACACTGGACTAAATACGCAGCGAGAGAGAAGCACAGCCTGAAAAAATAAGGCAGAGGCATCACTCCCGTAACAAAGAGGAGACTGTGCAGATGCATGAGCAATTTGTGCAGCTTAGTGTTTGCCTTGGTTGCCGTAGTGTTTGCCAAGTGTTGGTAGAGTGCTAGCAGAAAGCAGACACATGTTAATAGCATGTAGACAGCGTATTTTCTCTCATATTGCACTTGAGATACTGCATGTAGTGTTATCCAAAAATGTAAAGGCTAGTCCACCTCAGGCTGCGTTAAGTGTACATGTGAAACCGGGAGATTGTCAGCCATAGTGCCCCAGTGGTGAATGTGGGTGTAAAGAACATTTGGCATAATCAACTTTTTCCCCTGGCTAAAGCTCTGCTCTCAAGTCAATCATGGCTCTGCCAGCAGTTTTAAAGGAATGTGGCAAGGGTGAGACATCGGGCAAAGTAGGCATGTACTCACTGGTTTGAATCCATTTTTGCTTGACCCCAGAGGTGTAAAGGATAGAGTGAAGAAGCTCAGCTAGATGACTGAACAAATAAAGGGGAAAGAGAACCCTAAAAAATAGCCATCTCTTTTCAACTCCAAAGCTCAAGCTATGAGGCTGATCTGGAGATCTTCATCTTGTGTTCAGTTCTATCTTAAAAATGTATTTTTGCATTCGGACTCACAAATGTTGAGACCTTGGTCCATGACGCTTACTTAAGGACATGCTGGTGGCTCCAGGGGATGGTGATAAGCGCAAGTGATGTCTCAGCTCTAGGGAGGACTCAAGGGCCAGGCAGAAGCCTGTCTCTCCCTTTAGGGAGACACCAGAGCATAGTCAGTGCTCACAACAACCCTTCACAGCCAGGCTTGGATGGCTGCAGGTCTGTCACCTCTGACTAATTTGGTCCACATGATTTGTCTCAACCTTCTCAAGAGCACCAAAGCTTAGCTGTGAAATCCAGTGGGTACGGAAGTTTGTGGTTCATGAAACATCAATCTTTCCTTTAAAGTCCATTGGTTTTCCTCTTGCCAAAAGAGGAAGATGGGAAATCCCTGGCACCAGCACAGGAGGCTTGTGCTTTGCTGTCAGGGTCCAGCTGCATCTCTGCACCCAGTGCTCCTGCAACCACGCCACTGTCTTATCCTGGCCAGCATGATATTTTTTAAAAGCAGTTTCTTAATATCTGTTGAAGAGGTGATTAGCCCTTTTGATTTACAACAGAAATATGTTGTTTAATCATGTGAGAAATTACGAATTTACTGGTTGTGGCAGACAGGAGTTGAGTGTGACCCTTCCTTGCCTTTAATCAAGCCAGTAGCTCTGACTAAATATGTAAAAATAACGAGTTATAGCCTCTTTCATTCAGCCTTGGCTGATGACCCTGTATTTCAGAGTGCAGTGTTTCACCAGGAAGGGCATGGGCTTGCACCCTCATACCATTCTTAGCATTAGGAAATGTAGCTGGGGCTTCCCCACTATCACAGCCTTGTACCAAGCCACACCATACTGTGACCACTGGACCACGATCAAGAAAAGCTTGCAGTTGCGACACCTTGCTGGATTCATGAGGTTTATAGGGACATGCTTGTTTTTTCTTGTCCATATCCAAACATGCAGGCAACACAGAACTGCCTGATTCTAGTTTGCTTAATTGACTTGACCGTGCATCAGTGTGTTTTGATGGCTTATTAAGGTAACAACTGATTTTCCTTAGTTCAGAAGACTGAACTTTGAAAGACATATAATCTCTGGATAATTGCCAGCATGTTACTGACGTACTCTCAGGTTTAATAGCATTGTCTTAGAATGAGATTAATAGAATAATCGATAGAACTGATTAAGGAATTTCCCAGTGTGAAATTCTTTCTTCAGTATGAAAAGCTTTATCACTCATCCAAAAACTGCAAAGAATAGTAAGCAATTAGAAATAAAATCTTAGCTCTTCCCTAGTGAAACATGCTGTTACTTATAGCTATCCTCTTCCCTTTCCTAACGCTTTCTTTAATTTTGTACAATTCTTTTAACCAGAGAGCTCTTTGGGCTGGCATTTCTCCTTTATTAGATATTTCTGCAAGTCCCCAGCCCTCATAACTGTTCAGCACTGTCTCAATTGTAGGTGATGCTGTAGGCCTGCAGATTCCCTCACCCTCCTCCCTCCCCAGTCATCACTGAATTATGTGCATTTTAAGTTTCTTGGGGTTCTTGCTGTTCTGGCTCTCCCAGTTGTCCTTCCACATGGCAAGAAATCTGGCTAGCAATACATACTGGAAGATGTTTTCTATGTTAATGTCTTACATTACTCATTTTAATAGCAAATCATGCAACTTAAAGAGAGGACAGACTGCCATCAGGGTAACTTGAATCGAATATTGAAATTCTCAGCATTGCAGAAGTAGTCTGTTATCAGTGCTATGATTCATCCTATGCATTTGGATGAAAAGACTTATTATTTGTCTGTGAAAAAGGTTAAAAAAAAAAGGTAAAAGTTTAAAAAAATAACTTACTTGCCATACTGCAGTATTAACAAAAGTTACCAGATCCAGGGATGGGTGTACGGAAATAAAAGAAAAACATGGGTTCAACAAACCACTAGATAGTGTGGGAAAGGATCATCGAGGTGCTAAACAGACAGACACCCTCTCTGGTTCAGAAAGTCCCTGAAGGGCTGGAGGTGGTGACATTTCTAGGGCAATATCTCTACATGCTTGCCCAGCTCTTCTGTGGGCTCCACTGCAGGACACTGTTGGAGACAAGGCACTGGAGAAGATGATCCTCTGGTCCAAGATGCTGCAGGCCCTCTTCATCCATCTAAGTTGTAGGTTCCCTATGCAGCTCTGTGGCTGGGATTAAGTATTTGTGCAAAAGCTTTGGCCGAGGCTTTGCTTTCTCTGAAGAGGATATTGATTTGAGAATACATGTAACCATTTAACCAGAGTCTCTCCTCAAGGTTTCCTGTGATTCATAACCTAATCAGTTTTAACTGTCCTACCCTGCATCTGCTGATGATTTTTGGACATGGTGAAGCAAGACTGTCCTGAGAGGAATTAATCTCTCCCAACATCAGGTGTCCACATCATCACTGACTCAGGCTCCTGTACAGTCTGCAATCTAGTGAATAGCCGATGGAGGCTAGCACACGATTCTTCTGACCAAATGTGGTTGTTTGCTCTAGGATAAAATGACTCCATCACTTCCACTGGAGATCTCCATTAACTACACAGTGAGCCTATGGCAACTAGCTTAGGTATAGCTGCATTGCAGACCTGTAGTTGTGTGAATCTCTCGCATCTCAGCCAGGGAGTAGGACTTACCAACTCTCCTGGTACTTACCCGTCAATCAATTGCTAAAAGACTTCGTGAATAAGCACTCTCTTCTTCCTTATGGGCAGGGCTCACTTCTCAGTGCCTGACTTTTTTATATATTCCATATTTATATAAACAGATGTATAAATAATCACACTTTATATAAATGCATTCATGAGAATAAAGCATGCAGCTCACTGTTTGTTCCTGTCTGAGACCTGACACAACAGCAGGCAACAACATGGGGAACACTGACTTTGCTAACACCAAGGTCTGCCATTTTTCTGCAACCCTTTCTGCCACATGGGGTACGTAGGTAAGAGGGAAGAAGGGGCCATGGAAAGAAAAAGAAGTCTAAAATGGCAGGCAATCTATAAAGTTGTAGGAAGACGTGCCTCTGACAACGTATGCCCAGAGAATTGTCCTGCAATGGCAACGTATGGAAAATCCAAGGCGGAGCTGGAGCTGGGAAGGGCAAAGGCCCCAGCCTGTCTAGGGTTTCATGTCTGGATCCTAAAAGTACAGCAGTTGAGCTATTTCCTTCCTTCCACCTCTCCCAGGCCCTTAGAAGGATGGCAACAGACAAAAAGCCAGGAGGGAGTTACTCCTACATCAGCTTGTTCAGGACACCAGTGCTGCGGAAGATCTCTCTGTGTTCTGGGGCTGTATGGTAAGCAGTGTCACTTCACACAGGGGATTTGTCCTGCAGTTCCCCGGCTGGATTTCCCTAATCCCCTTCTCCACACACTCCTTGCAGGTTTGGTGTTGCCTTCTCTTATTATGGCATGAGCATGAACCTAACTGGCTTTGGGCTCAACATGTATCTCTCCCAGTTTGTCTTTGGGGTCATTGAGATTCCAGCCAAGATGATCATGTATGTGGTGATGAATCGAGCTGGACGACGGCAGAGTCAGGCGTGGGCACTCATCCTGACTGGGCTATGCATCGGAGCCAACGTCATCATTCCCAAGCGTGAGATGCTCCTCTGCTATATGCAGTACTTGCTAAAGGGGAGGTTTGCATTCTGTACAGTGCTAGAGAAGGAGAACCATAGATCTTGTCCACAGGCAATTCTGTATAGAGATGTCCTTGACCTAAAGGGCATCTGTGGGACAAGGTTGCTAATGGGGGCTAGCCCTAATATGTGGTGGCAACAGATGGTCTCCAGTCACTGTGAAGCAGCTAGTAAGGGTCCAGTGATGGCAAGGTGAAGTGCCTATCTTTATTATAGACATTGTCCAATGGGAAATATCAGGACCTATCCTTGCATCAGTTCAGCTCCCACTCGGGCTAATAGTTACCAAACTTACTGATCCAGACTTTGGAGACAGCAGCTCCAGGGCTACAAAGCTCCCTGTTTTGTCTGTAGGAGCATTGAATCTTCTTCCTTCTTGTACCTGAGGCCCCAAGAACCTTCTTCCTAGAGGCTGCTCTTTGACCGTTGTCATAAATGTCTTTTCTTTCCTCCTAGCCTTCACCTCCTTGCGCTCTGTAGTAGCCATTATGGGCAAAGGTTTCTCAGAAGCTGCATTCACTGCTGTCTTCTTGTACACCTCTGAGCTCTACCCGACCGTACTGAGGTAAGACATGCCACTCGCCTGCATGCACAACCAGAGCCTCAGTGGGATGTCACCCTCAGGTCTTCGACATCAGCAAAGCAGGACGTGCTGTTGGCTAGACTGCAGGACTGACGCCTTGCCTCTAGAAGTAGCAGGTTCTAGCAATTACACACTCACAAGAAAGGGGCAGAAAGCTACCCTTTTTTTACCTGGGTTATGTGTGGCTAGGTTATGTTGATAGGGAGATGTATCAAAAGGTGAGGAGTATTCTGTGTGGGAAGATTTTTGAACTCCATAAGGCATCTGTGCTTAGTGAAGTCTTATTTCCCTGTGATAATCTGCCAATAACTGTTAAAAGATCCCCAAAATAATAAATTGAAATATCAAGTTTTATAAGGGACACATACTACTACGTTTGACAGTCTTCTGGACATCAGATGATATTAAAGCAGGGACTTTCAGGAGGAAAAAGAGAGGTTATTTGAAACATCTGGGTAATGGTGACATAAAACCAGATTTAGCATCAGCAAGGTTTGGGATATAGCTGAGACTGGTGGAGGGAATCACCTCACTGGTTTCTTTGTGAAAGTCTGAAAAAGCCCTGATGGATCACGGCAGGCCTTGTGGCTTACTTCACCTCTGTCCCTCCCTGCCCAGAGTACCCTTCTCTGCCATTTAGTCCTTTAACTTTCACTGGTTTGTTGCATGAGGGGAATGATGCATATTTAAACCACACCAATCTGCTACTTTTCTTCTCAGATTGGTTTGTATTTTTACGTGCTCAAAGACATTGACAGATAAAGACAAAAATGTTGGTTCCTTCTGCAGTACTTACTCTGCATATGCACAAGTAGGTCCTGGCATCCTTGTTGTCAGTGTGAAATGACACCCATTCCCTGAAAATTAGTAAGTGGAATAGGTCCCAGGTCTTATTTTCGGCCTCCTCTCCAAGCTCTCCTGGGCTTATATCTACAGCAGGACCAAAGGTGCTCACAGGTATCTCCAGTGCATGCCACCTGCCTAGAAGTGCCTGGGAGAAGGAGGGACTTAGGTTTGCTCTCAGCAGATTGGAAGACTTACTAGGGGATGGGTAGAAAATGCACTTGGGGTTTTAGACATTTAAAGTGGAAACAACTTCAGAGCAGATATTTTTAGTGTGGAACTGCAGCTTCTTTCTCATAATAGACATAAATCTATTTCTCACAGCAGTTACGGTTGCTCTCTGGGAAATATTACCATTGTAGGGAGATACGAAGAAAGAAAAAAACCAACCTAGAAAAAACCTGGCAGAGGAAAAACCTGTGGGGAAAAAAGCCTCGGCACTTATAGAAAAATAGGGGGAAGGGGAAGAGGGTCTGCACCTTTTCCCAAGGTCTGATATGAAAGAAGTACCCATCTCTTTCTCACGGTGGTCTGCACCACCATGCTGCCCTACCTTTCCAGGCAGAATGGGATGGGGTACACCTCCTTCGTGGCACGCCTCGGCGGGGCTTTGGCCCCACTTGTGTTTCTGCTGGATGAGGTGTGGAGGTCTCTGCCCGAGGTGACGTACTGTGGTGTAGCAGCGTGCTGCGGCTCGGTGGCCTTCCTGCTCCCGGAGACGCTCAACGCGCACCTGCCTGAGGGTATCGAGGATGTCGAGAAGGCACAGTGAGTCAGCTCCATCCTGCCCTGCACACGGAGTCTGCTGAGAGAGGCGGGGGACGTCCCTCTCTGCCGCCTGTAATTCCCCATCTGTGGGTGGCAGCGGATGCAGGGACAGCCCGGTGGGGATCCGGACTGTCAGGCTCCCTGCTCTTCTGTCCATCAGCCCAAACGTGCCTTCTTTTCTTCCAGAGTGAAAGGGCCGCCACAAATCAGTGCTCCCGAGGGCATGCCGCTACAGTCTCTGCTGAAGTGAGGTAGTCCGTGGGACTGCAAAACCGAGCCGTGCTCTGACCTGTCAATAAAAGAGCCTTTACTGTCCTCCTAGTCTCTCTCTGCAGGGAAGCGCGGCTGAGGACACTGGAGAAAGGAGGCGGATCACGAAACCAGCTGGAGGCAGCTAAGCCCACTGTGGGGTTAGCGTGGCCAGGAGCAAGAATACAGAGGTCTAACAGCGTGTGGAAATAAAGGCACCCTGTGCTAAGCTCTTCGAGTCTTTGGCCTTGTGGGACGAGCAGCACCTTTCAGATCACTGCACAGCCTTCCAGAAACTACAATCCATTGGTTTACAGACCACAAGAAATGCAATGCAGCAATAAAAAATACTGAGTGTGAATCATACAAAACCAAATAATCTCAGATAAATCTAACTGTATGGTGGATAAGCCATAAACTGTAGCTACAAATACTTCTTGAATTTGGAAATGGTCTGGATGTTTTTCACACTGAGGCTCAAAGCCAGCAAAAAGCACATGCAGGACTCTCACTGAGAGTGGGACAACTGCAAGCCTTTGTCCCACATACACAAAGAAGAAAAAAAGCTTTTGTAGATTATTTAAATCTAGTGTGTATGTGATGAGTATCCTTTAAGCTAAAAAAAAACCCAAAAATACCTCGCTACAGGAACTTTTGCATGCAATATTGAATAATTCATTATTGGACTTCATTCTGCTTACTGGTCTAACACATTGATCTTAAATTTACAGAATGCCTTTGCCTCTTGCATTTACTTCTGCAAACAGAGATGAGCCACCAAATTATCTATAAATTTGGAACCCTGATAAACAGCACTTTCGTAAATTGGGAAGAGGGAATGGCCTCAGCACCTGAGTCCGAGGCGCACCATGATTCCCTGGGCTGTGAGGTGTTTTAAGCTAGGGCGCGCACAGCCCTATGAGGACAACACAAACCGAGGAGGCATCTGGAAGCGGGTGGAGAGGCCCATCCAATCCCAGGTCAAAGAGCGCCTCCTAGTAGAAATAAGGTGCCTGGCAAAATTTTATACATCACCTTTCTGCTTTAAGGCAGCAAAAGGAGAGCAAACTCCTCAGAATCGCCCTAAGGCTGAGACAATTTTGCGTATTATTTCTGTCCTAGAGATTGGGTCAGATAACCTGCCAAATCCCTGGGAAAAGAGCATCTCCCCGTGCACCGCCTTGGGTTCATCAGCGGCAGACCAGAGCTAATAATCAGCTAGCTGCAACACGCTAACATGAATAATAGAGCGTAATATACCTTCAAAAGTGCCACGTGCAGAGCACTTGTTTGGGCACCTTTTCAGGGCATTCCCCTACCTACAGCAAACACGTGGTGGAGGCACCCCAAGGTCCTTGTGCCACGAGGCAGCAGGCAAACTGTGCCAAAGAGTAGAAATTAGTAGAAATTTCTGGGTTTGGACAAGCCTGGTACCTCTCACTCGTTCACATTTAGTAATTGCAGGAGTTTTCACCTCTTCTCTATATGCCTGCGAGTATAATAAATTATATTTGTAATGCTGTCACCAGTTTCTGACCTGGGAGCAGTACAGCCTCGCCTTATTTTGGCCATCCTGCTAGCTGCCGTCGGAGAGCTGGAGAGGACGTTTTTCCTTTGCTGGCAGAGGAGCCTGAGCAGGCTAACGCTGCAGCACTTTCTTCTGAGCCATCCAGGACAGGGGGCAAGACAAGCTGTGAAATTCACTTTGTCACAACCTGGCAAGTGCCAGTCCAGGAACACTTTCAATAAAGAAGGTAAAATTTCGCTCCAGAGCAGGAAAACGGTGAGATTTAATCTCCCGATTTCTTCCCCACATCTTTAGTCTTGTCAAAAGGACAACAGACGGGGTCCCAAATTAATGGGGTTGAGGGTCGACAGTTCCCGTTCCCACTCTGCCCACACAGGAGCATACCCACAGGCTTCCCTCACAGACCAAGCTGTGCACTAAAAAATTATGGTGGCTCACTTCTACGTGGCGGGGCTGAGACAATATTGCTTTAAAACCCTTTTCTTTTTCTTGGGGAGGTATCTTAAGCTCTGATCGTTCCTGTTTTATATTCAGGAAAAAACTTCTAGCTTCAAAAAGACTAAATTCAGTATCCCAAGTTTCATCCCAGCAACAAACAGAATACACAATAGCGTCCCATTTTAACAACCTCCACTTCGGCATTCTGTCAAAGTTGATAAAAAATAATCTGACAGTTCTTTTTCATTTGAATGTTGTTATCATCCATTTGGCCTATAGTTAAGTGTTCTGTATTTTCCTTAGACGATTAACAAAATTGGTGTTTTATTATACCAGATTAGACAAACACTAATTGTTGTCCCTGTCCACAGTTCTTTCAAGGTGAAAAGCATTTCATTAAAAACATTTTGAACAATTTAGCAGGAGAAAATTAGGTAGCAGCCATTTTTTAAATTAAATTTTTCTTTCCATGAATTACGTAACACCTTGTGCTGTCAAAGAAGAAAAGGCAATAACATCAGTATGAGGTCATGACCAATCTACCGTACATCTGAGTTTTCTTCAGCAAAATGTTCTTGATTTGTTAGAAATACATCATGATTTATAGCAACCAACACGAGCATGCAATGCTGATGTCATTCCTCGTACAGCGTCTGTAGGAAAAACAGGACATTAGCCAACTCAAGAACTCACACTTTTCATTACTGATAGGTTTGTTAAGACAAACCTGATTTGGGGGGGGAAATCTGATTTCCAGGTTCTGAATTTGTGAGATAAGATGCCTTTGGTCTGTCGCAGACTTGTTTAGGAGGAGGACAGAAGTGACGGTTACAAACAAAAAGACTTTTTCACAAACAGAAAAAACAAACTAGGTAACAATGCATGAGAAGGTAAGAACGCATCTTTAGGAAAACTAAAAGATATCAAGAAAAATGTGGTTTGAAGTGTCGAACAGGTTAAGAAGAGGAGAAGGTCTGTTGGCTCTCCGGTCCCAGTATCGCGTGGCTCGGAGCATGCATCACCCCCGGACGCAGACAACCGAGGTCTGAGGGTGCAGAGCAGAGGAAGCAACCTGGCCCTTTCCTCACTTGCTGCCCTCCTTCGGCAGTTTATCACGCTGGTTTATCAACGTCCTTCTTGAACTGGACGCAGTACCTAGATGCCGTCTGACAAGCACTGCGCTGGGGGGGAACAGCTCCTTCCCTCCACCTCCCAGCTGTGCCTGTTCGCAGAGCCCTCACTGCCATGAGGGCCCAGGGCTGTGCCCGCCAGGCCCCCAGGGCCTTCCTTGCAGAGCCTCTCCAGCTCCAGCCTCTGTCATTGCTGACTCTCCCCTTCGTCCTGAATTTCATGGGGTTCCTGTTGTCTCCAGCCCGTCTGGGTCCCACTGCACGGCTGCCCGTCCTCCGCACACGGGCTGACCTCCCCAGGCCTCAGAGGCCCGTACCTGCGGTGTGGGGACAGCAGCCTGTGTGTGTGTGCGAGGCTGCGTGCGGCCCCTCGCCAGGGCCAGGCCAGACCAGGCATTGGTCAGGGCCTGCGTCTCCGGTGGCGAGACCTAGACCGGAGCCCCACCAGCCCCGCGAGGCCGTGGGGCCCAGTGGGCAACCAGCGCCCGCCCGTGGCCTGTAGCAGCACCAGGAGCGGGGCAGCAGCCTGGGGGCATCTGTGCCTG